CATTTTATTTTACCATAAAGGTATGGCACATATCTGATGTTTTCCTTCCTACAATTAAAAAAAAACTTTGTTTTTTGAGATTACAATATAGTTACTTCCTTTCCGATTCTGTTTCCTCCCTCCAAAGACTTGCATACACCTACCTAGCTGTCTTTTAAATTCATGGATGGTTTTCTCATTAATTGTGGTTACATAATAGTCATACATACATATATACATATGTAGATGTTACTAAATATATATGGACAATATGCTTATTTTCTATAATGTTACTTGTTCATATGTTTTCAGGGATGACCCTTAGGTATTAAATAACCAGTTGGTTATTCACCACCAGCTCTCTAATTGGAATTATGGCCTATTAAACAAGAGGGGAGATTATTCCTGGTACTGGGAACCTAGCCAAATACCCATGAATATTGAAGTCATATGGATCTTGAAAGAGAACCTACTACTTCCACTATAATAAACCACCGTAATTCCTAATTGCAGTCTAAATATTTTTACAAGTTCTAGCCTGGCTATGCATTATGTACTGAGGTCATAGGTTCTTGTGACTAGAAACATACATTGGTATCTTCATGGCAAAAACCCATGAAGGCTCTGAAATTTTGCCCGGTTTTCAAGCTGAGAACTTAGCTTTCTGCAAGTGTGAGACAGGAGACCCTTGAGTCATGTACAAAGGATATGATTTCTTATGAAAAGTGCAAAAGTGCTAATGTCAGAATTTATTGGTCCTCGAGTACAAGGCCAAATGATATGTGTGCATGCTGTGGAGTGATCCTAGGGAACCTGAACCTTTACAATGATGCATTCTGGTGACTGATACATAGGTGCTAGACTTTCTTATTCTGGCCAATGAACAAACCACTTCCTGCCCAGGGGATAGCACTAAATCTTTCAAGATGGCCCTACAAAACTGTCTTTGAAGAGAGATAACAACCAGCGTGGTCAGGTGCTGAGTTCTTAAGATTTGTAGAACTGGCAGAAGTCTGTGGAGAACTGCTTTCCAGCATCTCCCTCTGTGCAAGATAATGGATGTAGAAGCCTACTCAACTGCTGTAACACTCTGCACCCCAGAACTCACAGAAGACTTGATACACACCATTTCCAAGAACTGCTCCTGGGTAGTGAATATAAGCCAAGTTCCAGCCCGTTGCCAGTGCCATATGGCAAGTTTGTTGATTTTTATTATTGCAGGATTTATTTGTGGACTTTATTCAGGCGTAGAATTTTTGATGTCCTGGTTGAAGTATGGCCATGTCTCAAAATATTTATAGCGCTGTGACAAGCTGAGTCAACTGCTGCACCCTTGTCAGTGGAAGACTGAATCGGCAACGCGTTTAAACTGTCAAAGAGCTTTGGCTGCTGGATCACCTTCCTGCTCAGACTGAAGTTCTGAGGGTCTTAAACAAAACAAAATAAAAAAAAATAGAAAAGCCATCTTGATTATCTAAGAAATCAAGAAATTATTTCTATCCAACCTTAATAGTCTTAGACTGGACTGGAAGAACAGGAAGCAAATCTCCTCTCAATACAGAACAGGTGTAGACTCCTGTATGAAGGATATCATGAGATGATCCAACACCTAGTAGGAACAGAAATTCCTCATAATTAGACCAGAGCTCATAAACGGAGCTTTTGGAGCTGCCAAACCTGCACATTGGTAAGACTGGTGGCAGTTTCAGCCTTAATAAGTTTTTCCCCCCTTTGGAGTAGGCTTGTGATACATCTGACTCCCTCCCAAGAATAGGTAGTTTCTAGAGACTGTAATAATCTTGCATGATCTAGCTGAGGGTCTGCTGTGGTGGCCATGGGGTTGTTTATGTTTGTTTATGCCACTGCATGTAGATAGGTTTCAGTGCCCCAGTGGGATCGACTTATGTTTTGGCCTGTCACTTAAGTGGCTTTGTGGGGTTTGTGCAGCAGTAAAAACATGCAGAGTTTTGTTTCATTTTGTTTTTGTTTGTTTTTTTTCCTCCTTCTACTTTTGCATGTAAGACTCAGGATAGCAAAAGTCTGTATGGCAGGAGCCAGTCTTAATCAACACTATCCAAACCTAGGGCAGCATAGCAGCATCTTAGAGCCCATTCAGAGAGGGTAGGGCCTGTTTCTAAGCAGAAGACTTGAAGCTGCAACTTAGTACTAATGCATTAAAGCCTTAGAGTGGGCAAGTCCTGACAATTAAGCCCTTTAAGGTGCCTGAAAACAGAGTCTCCAGCACAGTTCAGGTGCGGGTGGAAGGCATATAGCCTCAGCTGATGGAATTTCTACTATAGCCAGCTAACTTAAGCCTGGCTACAGCAGTGTTGGACAAAAGTGCCTTTCAATAGAAAGGTCTTATATATGACTCCAATACCATGCTCTGCTATGTAGGTTGTTGGCCCAGAGTAAGACATAGCAGAGGGATACTAGCGCCCACAGTCATAACATGGAGCCTGGGGTTGGTTTATCAGCAATGGCTGTGAGAAACTTAAATTGTGACCGCCGGCCAGTAATGCATGAGGTACTTAGGTTACTCTTTCCACAATGCGAAGCATGTGAGAACAAAATTCTCCAGGTACTTTTCCTTAATTGGATACCTTATGTAGCCAGGCAGGACTTCCGGTGGGGGGAGGGAAACAGCAACCCACCCACAAAACCTTTGACGCAAAAGTGCCTACTATAAGTGCGGGATAAAGATGGAACGGAGACTGAGAGAATGGCAAACCAATGACTGGCCCAACCCAACACCCACCCCACGGGGAAGAGCCAGTCCCTGGCACTATTAGCGATACTCTGCTATGCTTGTGGACAGAATCCCAGTATAACTGCCTTGAGAGGCTTCATCAAGCAGCTGATGAAAACAGATGTAGAGACCCACAGCCAAACAATAAGCCCAGCGCCGGAACTCTTGTGGAAGAGTACGGGAGCGAGTAGGGGAAGGATTATGGGAGAAGGACACCACAAGAAGACCTTCAGAGAGTAAACTAACCTGGGCCCAGGAGGGGTCACAGAGACAAAACCGCCAACCAAAGAGCATACATGAGCTTTATCTATGCCGCCTATACATACATACATAGCAGATGTGAAGCTTCTTTTTCATGTGGGTGCCATAACAATTGGATCAGGGGCTGTCTCTGACTCTGTTGTCTGCCTTTGCATTCCTTTTCCATAGCTAGGCTGCCTTTTCTGGCCTCAGAGGGTAAGGATGACCGTATTGCTGTGGCTTGATGTAGTACACATAGGGGGATGGGCTCCCCTTCTCTGAGGAGAAGGGAAAGGGGAACGGGAAAGAGGGGTGTGAGGGTGGAACTGCGAGGAGCGGGAGGAGGGGGCTGCAATCAGGCTATAAAGTGGATAAATTTAAAAGAAAATAGAAAAAAAAAAAAAAAAGAAAAAAGCACCATTACTGCAGATGAGAAAATCGTGGACTTGGATTTTGCCCTCTAGTTCTGAAACCAAGATCAGACAGCTATAAAGACACCCATCAAATCTGAACCCGATTAAAATAACACTTTTATGCCGAGAATAAATGACTATTGTGTATCCAGCTCTAAACTGATCATGTGTACCATTACCCCAACCCTTACACAAGGCTCAGAGAAAATCATGAAAGAATGACTGAAAACAGTGTTAAGAACTGGATGACAGTGAAGAGTGCTATAAAGTGCTGCTGTGGTGCCCTTCACAAGATCAAGCCAACACGTACAGTCAGCATCCCAACAGGCAACATTAATTGATCTCAGGGAGCTATGAAGAGAGAGATCATGAAGAAAAGGAGATACAGGATGTGTTTGGGACAAGCTAGGTTGGGGCCTGGACAGATGAGTGTTCATATAAGCAAAGTAAACTGTTTGTATGTATCAAGTTGCTAAAGATAAAAGATTATATTAAATCTAAAAATAATTCCTTTAATTGGAATGTTTATTAATATTTAACCTATCTTAAGGAATATAATGAACTATATTATCTTTGCATTTTATATGACACAAATATATGTATCCAAGAAAATGTTTAGCAAGCAAAATTCTCCTTGAACCGTTTTAATGGGCAAAACTGAACTGAGTTTTTAAAGAAATATTATTTGGTTTTTGTTTACTTCATCTTTCATCTCATTAATATTATAATCACAGTTTATATCATAAATAAACCATTTGCCATAGTTGAGAGACAGAAAACATTTTAGTGTGACATATTTACATCATTTTCAATGTACTTATGATCATAAACGGGTAACAATGTAATGTAATAAATAATTACATCATTCTTTTAAATTTATTCTAGTTTTTGTAGATCATTCCAAATTATGCCAAATTACATATGAATACTTTGTAAATATGTAAACATGTAAATACTGAGAAGAGTAAACAAACCTTTTTATAATGAGATGGCTATCTGAAAACTTTGTTCCTTTAAAGATTTCCACATAATGTCACCTCTCCGGGGATTTTTCCTCCTTTTATAAGTGTTTCTTTCTGACCCAAACTTTCTTGCGTCTTCATTTACCCCTATTTCCCCTCTGAGAGGTATCGCTACTTATATCCAGCCTTCATGTTTGCAAGGTTATGAGCGAGCTAAGTGTGCTTCTTGCTTTTCCTTGCACCTCCTCGGCAGCTTTAAGTACGGAGGTGACTATACTTCCAGGGCCACTCAAATGCAGTGTCTCTGGCAGGGTTTGCTAGAGGGATTAAAGGAGCGATCACCTGGATTCTGGCCAAAGATTCTCCAGAGGAAACCACCCGTCAACTGGAAAGGTGTAAATTAAATGGGTGGCATCTAACGATCCTGACTCTGCTGATAATCTCACCAGATCTGCGAGGGAACAAACACAGGAGCCGTAACATGACCTGTGCACATAATCGCTCAGCTAAACAGAGCAATCCCACTGTCATCATGGCTGAGTAAGAGCTTATTGACCTATTAGCTTAACTTGTATTAAGACTAAATTTGTATAAGTAGCTAAAGTTGTGCATTTGATAGTGGGCCTCGGTGTGGGCATTGGAGAAGTCGGCCTGAGTATGGATATCTTCAAGATTTTGTTAATATGCAGAGGTGAGTTAAAGTTTGCTGGTCGATTGTCTTTAGGAGACAGTGGGTATTGAGGAATTGGATCTATTCTGGGATCCATTTAATTTCAGTTAATATTTCTTAACGTCCTACTTATTCTTGTGTACATGAATAAGTGTATAAGTAAGGAAAGAACCTTAATATGGCTTTGGGTTATTTCATGCAGGACTCAACTTGATACTTTTCAGAGTCCACTTTTTTTGTAGCGCTATTTGCTTTTAACATCTTTTTTCTTTTATAGCAGTATCATATGGTGTATTTCTACAGTTTATGACTAATTTTCACACTATGCTATTTCTCTTGATATGACATATGCTCATATATTATCCCTTCAGTTGTATTTCAGTTTGGGAGTGAGTTTAAAAATATTTTATTCCTGCTCTTTGCTGTGGAGATATGTAGTTACAAATCTATAAAGAGTCACATCTAAAGAGAAACAGCATCTTTTGTCATGATGAAAAACATTGAAAATAATTAAGCAAATAAAACCGAAAAAGTCATTCATACTGATGTTTTGAAGCAGTGTTTCAAATAAAAGCGCAATAAAGTTTCTATTAAAATATTGTTTATGTGAGTGTACAAAATTCCTTGACATTGTACTTGATAATAGTTCAGCACCCAGACTGAATGAAGAAATAAAAGAAAGCTAGAATAGGATTGGAACATTGGATTGTTAGTTAGTCCAATTTTATTATGCATGGCTCAACAGAAAACATGTATTAAAATATCATTTAAGGGAAAAGCCAATGCTGGTTTGGATTTACATGCAGCTTTTTCACCATCTGAGCACAATAGTATGGAATAATCATGTAAAATGTTTTTTTTTTATGTTATTCTTGATTTTACTTAAGTCTTTCTGTATTACTGCTTTAGTGTTATCCTATGTCGGGGCAGAAATTCAGATGTTAATCAACCCTGTGAATTTGCCTGAAAATCAGCTTCCTGGAACAGAACTAAGCCGTGCTTATGACAAAGATGTGGCTGGAAAATCAAATGCCTACCGCTTTTTGAATATATCGAAAGATTTTGTCATCGACGCATGTAAATTAATTTTAGCATTTCTGTATTTTTATTTATTTTATAATTGTTACTTTAAAGTATGACCCTGAAGATAATTATTTAGTTATACTTCAATGGTACGTTAGAATGTTTGCTCAAACTTTGCTTCAGGTAATTACAGTTTCTGAAGTTTTCCCCTCGGTCTTGCTCCACTTTCAGGATTAGCCTGATGCTGCCCCAGGGGTTCTTTCCTGAGTAAAATAAGTTTTGTCTATTAATTAGCTTGAGACTTGCTTCTTCTTTCTCAGAGGAAAAAAAAAGTAGCCCTTGAATAATAGATGACTTGTGATATGTCTTTTGAACCAAATTCAAGGAAAACAATTTGAAAATATTATGACCAATCTGAAACTGTCTCCATGAAGCTTATTAAAGCGCCAGTTAAGGCGGGGAGCACACATTGTTTCCCGCACTCTGGCAGCACCAAAGCCTGGCCAGGGAGTCTGCAGTGGAATGGCCAAGTAACTTGATAAGAAGAGGAAACAGTTGAAAGAAGGAAGAAGCAAAATTCACTTCTGCCTACAGTTAGCATGTAGTCCAGGCCCTCTTGAAAGTACAGGTGACACTTGTGATGACTGTTGAAAGAGCATCAGTGGAATTTTATACATAATGGTTTGTTTTTGTTCAAAACATGAGTTTTATAATTATACATGAAATTAGCTAAGTGCTAATTATAAGCTGATTTGTGTCCTAGCAAAGCTATTATTTATATTTCAGGCAGCTGTTGAAATGCATGTACATATTTACTTATGTATTATACTCAACAAATATCAAAGCATTGCCTGGTATGATTTTTATAAAAGTCAGAGAATAGGTTTTAAAAGTAGAAATTGTTTTGTGTCTCAGTGGCAAGGCCTGGTATCTTCTTCAGAATGCCTATATTGATAATGCCTATATATTGACAGGGGAAGAAGTTCTACACTCTAAAACAGTCCATTTCACAGAAGCCATTTCAGACTTCTGTTCACCAGACACCCTCCTTGCCTCTCAAATTCTACTCAATCTCTAAGACTCTGAACTAAACCTCAAATATAGGCTTAATTTATTCTGACTACAGTGAGATACTAGGAATCTTTTTGTGGCTATCGGGTCTCTGATTTATTCCTTTACCTTTTATTTCTTTATTATTTGTGTGTGGCATTGGTAAATGTGCATGTGTAGGTCAGAGGTTCACACCTGGGGTCTTTTTCTATTGCTGTTCACCTTATTTTTTTGAGATAGAGTCTCTCACTAAGTCCGGAGACCACCAAGTTATTTTGGTTGTCTAGCCAGAAAGATCCAGGAATAATCCTGTCTCTGCCACTCTTGTTCTGAGATTAGAGGACATGTGAATGTGCCCATATTTTATGTGCATCTGAATACAGATCCTCATGCTTGTGCAGGAAGCACTTCGCCTACTGAACCATTTCCCCAAACTCATAGTCTTTGATTTTTCCTAGTCAGATTTCAGCAAGACTCTCTCCTAAGAGTCTTTAAATTGGAGTATCAAACATTGCAAAGACCGCTGGAACCATTTTTTTTTTTTTTTTTTTTTTTTTTTTTTGGTTCTGTTGCTCTCCTTGTGGAGCTACTGTTCCCTCCAGGTCTTTCTATCTCCCTTCTTTCATAAGATTCCCTGAACTCTGCCCAAAGTTTGGCTGTGAGTCTGCTTTGATACCCTGCTGGGCAGAGTCTTCAGAGGTCCTCTGTGGTAGCCTCCTGTCCTGTTCCATGTTTTCTCCCTCTTCTGATGTCCATCTTGTTTGCCTTTCTGCATGAGGATTGAGCATCTTACCCGGATAGTCCTTCTTGCTTAGCTTCTTTAGGTGTACAGATTTCAGTATGTTTATCTTATATTGTATGTCTAATATCCACTTATAATTGAGTATATACCATGTGTGTCTTTCTGTTTCTGGGATACTCACTCAGGATGATCTTTTCTAAACCCCACCATTTGATTGCAAATTTCATGATTTCCTAGTTTTTAATTGCCGAGTAATATTCCATTGTGTAAATGTACCACAATTTCTTTACCCATTTCTCAGTTGAGGGACATCTAGGTTGTTTTCAGATTCTGACTACTACGAATAAAGCTACTACATGTTTGAGCAAATGTCCTTGGTGTATACTTGAGCATATTTTGGATATATGCCTTGGAGTAGTATAGCTGGATCTTCAGGAAATACTATTCCTCATTTTCTGAGAAAGCACCAGATTGATTTCCAAAGTGGTTGTACAAGTTTATATTTAAACCAGCAATGGATGAGAGTTCCCCTTTTTCCACATCCTCTCCATCATGTGTTGCCACTTGAGTTTTTGATCTTGCCATTCTGATGGGTGTAAGGTGAAATTTAAGGGTCTGATACTCCAACCAAAGACCATGCATGGAGATAACCTAGAATCCCTGCATAGATGTAGACCATGGCAGCCCAGTGTCCAAGTGGGTTTCCTAGTAAACGGAGCAGGGGTTGTTTCTGACATGAACTCAGTGGCCAGACCTTTGATCACCTCCCTCTAGGGGGAGTGCAGCTGTACCAAGCCAAAGCCACAGAGGAAGACGATGCAGCCAGTGCTGATGAGACCAGATAGGCTAGGGTCAGATAGAAGGGGAGGAGGACCTCCCCTATCAGTGGACTGAGGGTGGGGCATGGGAGTAGAAGAGTGAGGGTAGATGGTATTGGGAGGGGTCAATGAGGGAGTTACAGCTGGGATACAAAATGAATAAACAGTAATAATCAAAAAAATTTTTAAAAAGTGATATTCACAAGCACTGTCCTCAAAAAAAAAAAAAAAGAGTCTGTAAATTCCTGGTATTTGGACCCAAGACATTCTTTTTTCTATTTGCCCTTTGCTAAAAGGAGAGTGTAAATCTTATTTGAATCCCTAATGTATCCCTTATGAATCCTTCCATGTTCCTTGCACACCACTTTTAAAATATAATTTGGCTATCTCTGCTCCTAATTATAGAAAACATATGCACACGTAATCTCTCATCTCCTGTGGTCTTTGGTATTGCCTAAGGTGGAAGCTCTTGAAAACAAGGGCTTTCCTCTTGCTCATCGGCATCCTGCTTGGCTTCTTCAGGAAGCTTCTTCAGGCAGCCTTGTTTACTCCAGGCCTTCATTTCTGCCCCCCAACAGATGCTTCTTATGAAAAAAAATCAAGTTTTTAAAATAATCCTTTCTTTCTCAACCTATCTTGTGACATTTTTCTACCTCTTGGCTTTTACCAAAATTTCCCATTTTCAGGGAAAACCATAGCATGTCTCCTGGTGATATTACTCACACTCCCACACATCTCCTATCTCTGGGTCAGGAAGTGGGGAATCAGCATACTTCTCAGTCTGTAAAACTGACTCCTGAGCGTGGCTTCGGTCCTCTTCGGAATTTTCTCCTGCTTATTTTCAGCTCCGGATATTTTACTTCTTCCCACACCCTAATAGTCATGTCCCTAGGGACTTGATTATGTCATTCATGCTGTTTCTTTTTACTTCATGTTCTGCCACAGCATGCTTGGTTTTTTTTTTTGTTTGTTTGTTTGTTTGTTTGTTTGTCTCTTTGATCTTCATACTATCTCCTATCCAGTGTCTCAAATGCTGAATCCCTTCTGTGAGCAAGTTTAAAACCCTGCACTTAAAATAATTTGTTGTTCATACATCCCTATTGTTGTAGCCAGAATGTTATCAACAACCAGAAAAATGTTGTTTCTGAATTCATTTTTCTTTGTATATGTGTGGCATGTGGAGACATTTGTACACGTGCTTATAGCTGGATATATTTGTACAGATGCACATTCTTATATGTTGAGTGGGCAACAGTTGACCTTGGCTATCTTCCTTCATTGTTTTTGACCTATGCCTTGAAGCAAAGTCTTTAACTTGAACTCAGAGATAACCAATTTTGAAAATCTAGCTAAGCAGTTTCTGTCAGGAATTCCTTTTGTTTACCTTTCAAGAGATGGAATATAGGTGGGCCATATCGGCCTAGATTTTGTATGGGTGCTGGAGATCTGAATTCTGCTCTTTGAGCTTGAACAAGTTCTTTTTTTCTTTCTTTCTTTCCATTTTTTTATTTTAATTTTTATTATATAGACTTCATTCACTTTATATCCCCCTGTGGCTTCTCCCTTCTCCCCTCCCAATCCCACACTCCCTTCCCCTTCTCCACTCATGCCCCTCCCCAAATCCACTGATAGGGGAGGTCCTCCTCTTCTTCCTTCTGATCCTAGTCTACCAGGTCTCATCAGGAGTAGCTGCACTGTCTTCCTCTGTGGCCTGGTAAGGTTGCTCCCCATCAGGGGGAGGTGATCAAAGAGAAGACCAATCAGTTCATGTCAGAGACAGTCCCTGTTCCCATTACTATGGAACCCCACTTGGACACTGAACTGCCTTGGATAACATCTGTGCAGGGGTTCTAGGTTATCTCCATCAATAGTCCTTGGTTGGAGTATCAGTCTCAGAAAAGAACCTTGTGCCCAGAATTTTTGGTTCTGTTGCTCTACTTGTGGAGCTCCTGCACTCTCCAGGTCTTTGAACAAGTTCTTAAACCACTGTGCAAACTCCCAGTCTCTTCTCTTTTCTACTTAGCTTCAGAACTCAAACTCAAGTTATTTTTCTCTTTAAACAAAACTACTAATCATTTCAGTAATCGTTTAAGCTATTCTTATCTTAATAAAACTCACATGTCCCTGCAAAACATCTCACTTCTCATTAAATTGTTTAATGTTTGTAAGGAATTCTCTTCAGCACTGTTTTTAACTCTGACCTTTATTACATATTTAGTTCCGATATCATTCTGCTTTAATGATAGATGCAAGGACATAGTTTGTCCCTTGCCTCATATAATTTTATTTTTTGTTGTTGCAAATTATCATTTGCATTTTAACACACATGCATTTGTTTTTAAAATTTTATTTTTTTATTTTCTGCCTATGGGTACTTTGCTTACATGTATGTCTGTGCCCCATATGTGTACAATGATTCTACAGCCCAGAAGAAAAGATGTTAGATCCTCTGGAACTGGAGGTACAGGTGGTCGTTAGCTACCACATGAATGCTGCAACTTGAACTTGGGTCTTCCAGATGAGCAGTCAGTGGTGCTCTTAACCATTGAACTATCTCTTCAGTCACCACATTCATCTTTGGATTTCTATAACACTGTAGTCTACTGAGTTTCCCAAACTACACTTCTCCTCCACTCCTTCTTCTTCCTCTCAATGCCAGCATATTTCTTGCTTATTTTGTACATCATGTTATTCATGCTATATTGGTTTCCATGTAAGGTTATTCAACCTTACATGCATCCCTTAACTAAAACCCCACCTACCTACAACTTTACCACAGTCCAAAGCATAGAACACACACACACACGAGGAGCTCAAACATTATGAGTAGACTATAGATCAATGACCTACCTCAAAGAAGCACCTTAAGTTTCATTATTTAAATCTGTCTTGATTACCTTTTCCTACAACATTTACTTAAATCTTTGAGGGAATCCAATATATGAAACATTACCCTCCTAAGGCAAAGCAGCCCAGTACAAGAACATACAACCTTCAAGTACCGCATGGCCTTAATGGTCTACCACTTTGTAGATCACATACATGCTGTGTTTTACACTTGCTACTGTGTGTCCTTTAGAAAATGTGTGACAAATGTGGACTGCAGATGCCCCCCCCAGCAGCTCCTGTCTAATTGAATCCATCTCAAATTGTTTGGTTCCTAATTCTTTGATACATAATCTTTGTCTTTAAAATCACCATCTCAAGTCATTTCATATTACATCTCATCTATTTCATACCAGTATCCACAACAGTTTTCTTGTCCCCAGGTTTCTTTCACTACTTTCTCTTTATTGACAGAACTTTTATTAAAGATCAAATATGGTATCAAATACTTTGATACATATCCATGTTAGGTCACATAATTATTCAATAAGTTCCAATTTTCCCAACATAAATGTAAAACTCCTTAAACCAATTCATGAGTCTCTTTAAAATGTGGCTACTTTTAATGCGTCTATGTTCAAAGGCAACACTGTTGGTGCCATGTTTTATGTATTTGTCAAAATCTCTTCTACACACCCTTCTTTCTCTGGACCTTGGGGTGTATTATGTCATCTCTCTATTCTTGTCCTGAACAATACCTTCATATCTTTGATTTGGAGGATGAAAAATAAGTTGAAGACATCATTTTAGAACACAAACTGGTCTCAACTTAAGATAAAATGCTCCCTCATCTGTTAATTTCCCTCCTCTCATCCCTTTCTCTCTCTTTCATTCCTTTCTTCATTTTTAAAAGGAGATTCTATGTATATAGTCTGAGTTAGTCTTAAGTTAGTAAACTCTCTGTCTCAACTTTGGGAGTGTTAACATTATGATGTTGTGACAACATGCCTCATGTGTTTTAGTCTTTCTTTACCATCCTCTATTTGTGATTATTTTTTTTTGATAAATAAGTAGATAAATGCCATGCCTTTGACTCTTTAGAGTATGTTCCTATTCTAATAAACAAATATTCAACTCTTCAGTTCTGCATGCTCATTCTATTTTTTTTATCCTGCATAACAACTCATTTCAATTTAGATGCCTCAACCTATACTGCTTCCTTTCTTATTTCTGTAAGTAAGCTGAGTGACCTTTCTGATATCCTTGTATTCACTCATAAGTATGAATTTAAAAAGTTTATTCAAATCTGTTTCAAAGAAAGAGTTTGGTCCATCTCTGACATGAGTCTGTCAATATCATAGAAACATTCTTTCTTAGTCAAAGTTATGTTGCTATGAAGAGATACCATGACCTCAGCAACTCTTATTAAAAAAGCATTTAGTTGAGGGTGGCTTACAGGTTTAGAGGTTTACTCCATTATTATCATGGTGGAAAGAATGGGCACATGCAGGCAGATATGGTGGAAAAGAAACCGAAGGTTTTATAACTAGAAAGGCAGGCAGAAGGAAGAGAAAGCTACTAGGCCTGGCTTGAGCATTTGAAAGTTTAAAGTCTACCCCAGATGACATATGTCCTCCAACAAGGCTACACTTACTCAAAGAAGGCCATACCTCCTAATAGTGCCAATCCCTGGTGACAAAGTATTCAAATCTATGAACCTAAGGGGGCCATTTCTCTTCAGACCACCATACATTCTTTGTTTTTTCTAGTATGTTCAGGCCTGTAAGGCTCTTAGACACTGTAGATATGGGTGTCAACAAAAAGTAGCTCATGTCAAAAATAGTCCCTGTTCCCCTTACTAGGGAAACCCACTTGGTTACTGAGCTACCACAGGCTACATCCTAGCAGAGGTTCCAGGTTATATCCATACATGGAACTCAGTGGCAGGCTCTTTGAACTTCTCACCCCCCCCCCAAGGGAGGAGCAGCCCTGCTGGGCCACAGAGGAGGATTTTGCAGCCAGTCCTAAAGATACCTGATAAAACAGGGTCAGATGAAAGGGGAGGAGGTCCTCTCCAATCAGTGTACTTGGAAAAGGGCAGAGAGGAGATGAGGGAGAGAGAGAGGGAGGGATTGGGAGGGAAAGAAGGAGGGGATACAGCTGGGATACAGAGTTAATAAAATGTAACTAATAATAAAAAAAAAGTAGCTCACTTGAGCAGAGAGGAAAAAAAAAGGAGGGTGGTGGGAGGAGAGAAAAGAAAGCATAGAAGAAAAGAAAGGTTTGTTTCACAAAATTTGCTTCTAGAACACTTCCTGATAACCTGAAGATTGTCAAACGTCCCCCACTTTTGAAGAATTCATCACCTCCTGATAGCACCAAGTTAGAACCTATAGAACATTCTAGATTGCTAGACTGAAAGATTCAAACTATATCAGATGCTAAAGCTTTTTTTTTTTTTTTTTTTCTTTACAACCTGTCATCAACAAACATCTAAGACTACACTGGGACCAATACATGAGCTGTTATGAATCTGCTTCTTTTGGTTGTTAGGCTTTTAAATGCCAAATGCAACCAGATATTGTATGTTAATCTAGACAGATATAAACAATCTCACATCATATCTTTAATACCAAAATCTTTACAGTGAATCAGGAAAGACCCAAAGGGTCATTCATTTAAGGTTAGTTAATTCAGCCTAACAAGATGAAACTCATTAGAAGACACCATAGTAAACAAACCCTGTCATTATTCCTATTGATATTCCCTCAAGGTTGGATCTAGCACCACACTTTAAAAGTACTTCTTGACTATTAGGAAAAATAGATAAGTTCCATTTTAGTTTGAGTGATGTTAGGTCAGGTTATATTTGTCTTTTGCTGTGACCCGAGTTTATCTGGCACTTAACATTCCATAAAACTGAAAAGAAAATCTGTAAACATTTACAGGAAGTTTGTTTTAGGAAAATGTACTCTTTGTCTTTTTAAACTCATAAGCTAATATCTGTAAGTGTATATGTTTTAAAAATAATATCTGTTGATAATTGTTAATTTCTCAGAATTTATAACAGTTTTCTTTCTTTTTAGTAGGTTTCTTTATAAGATGGTATCATATTTACTTTTAAGCAACTTATTATATACATACTTAATAAACTGGCGTGGCTAATATCAAAATTGTTGGAACTTTCTATAGTTTCTTCGTTTCATGTATACTAGCTCTCCTTGCCATAATTTAATTATTTTTAATGCTGAGGATTAAACTAGCCCAGCAGAAGCAATGTATCCTCTTCCATAACACAGAGTTCCTGGTAGTAAATGTTATCTTAGTTTCAGACCAAAATTCTGCAAAACACAGACTTCAGGGGCTGGAAAGATGGCACTGCTGATAAAGGACTTGCAATACAAGCATGAATATTTTGAGATTAGATCCTTCGCACTCATAGAAAAGCTGGACACGGCAGTGGTTGTCTGTTATCGAGTGCTGGTGGGAAAGGGTAAAGACAGAGAGACCGAGGGTGCTTTCTGGTCAACCACTGTATCTAGTCAGTGAACTCAAATAATGAGAGATCCTGTTCCAAGAGAAGGTGATAAGCGATTGAGGAAGAAGTCACACGTCAACATCCACTTCATGTAACATGTGCACATCCCAGCAAATGTGAATCATACCACTGCCCACACCCACATGAGCACACATCAAAAGTCCTTATATCATGATGTTATAGTACAGTTATTGTAAATAGACTGGATATAGCTAAACAATCTACGTTTCTTTTTACCAGTAAGTGAATAAAGGCCAATGGAATCTCTGTTACTGATAGCCTCTGTGACGTCAGAAATGATTTTCAATGAAAATGTTTCAGGGAAAACAGTATATTAGAAAAAAGAAAACATCTGAATCAGTTATATCTACTTGCCTGTATTTCTTTTTTCTTTCTTTTTTTTTTTTTTGGTTAGGAATCTATTACAATACCTATTTTCTTTCCAATCCTTCAACAGACTGTTGATTGTGCAATTTTGGATAGATCATGTCAGTATCAATTTAATTCATTTATATAACATTATTTAGCAATTACAATTTCTGATTTTAACACATTTCTAGATATCTTAACTTATATTTATAGGTAGGAATATAGATATGTCGCCTACTAGCTATATTAATAGAGGGTATTTATGATTTGACTTATCTCTTTATTAGACTCTGGCGTCATCACATCTACAAAAGTCTTTAATTATGAAAAAGATTCAACCAGATTTCTGCTTATAATTGATACTGGAGGAGACATGAGACATGTTTTGACCGTTAATATAGTTGATGTTCCAGAACCTCCAGACTGTACCGTTGACCCCCTCTTTTCTTCTGGCTCAGGTATGATTCTTTTTTTTATTATTATTATATTTTTCTGTTGCTTAGTTTCAATAAAAATCCACAGTGAAAGAAATGAAAGATGCTGTTTAATATAAAAACACTCAGGAATATTTTTTTAGGAAGAATGTAGGTATATATAGATGTTTAATTATACAAGCACAGGCCAGTAGACAGGTGCGTCAGAAAACACACAGATGCTCACTAGAATAGACTGAAAGTATGTTTGTGAGGTAGAAATTTCCACTTGCGCTTGCGAGCTTACACATTAAAATTAAGAAAATAATTCTTAAGGACATTTATAAAAATTAGTAATATGGGAGGGCAGGAGTGCTATATCAGTAAATGTATTAGTGAATGGCTCTTCTTTCTTGGCTAACAAGTGACTTTGGCTATACTTTCATTATTATTTGTTTTTTTAATAACAAATCTATTATCATAATGTGTTTCATCTAAAATATTCTATTTTTGCTCACAATTATTTTTCAATTAAGTTATCGTGATCAGTGCTTAGTCTGTGTTCTCTGTCATGAATCAGATTTTTTTTTAACTATCAGATATTGTTTAAGAAATACAATTTTTCTCCAAAAAAATTCAGTGACAAAATACTTCACATCCCTTAAAATTGTGTCAGTTACCCTACATTATTTTCTGATTATAAAGAGGGTGTGTGACAAATAACAATAAAAATTATTAAGGATTGGTGCCTGGTGCTTACAGTATAAATTGATGGGTGTGCCATCACTCAAATTTGTTCCTGTAGCAGAAAATACAACAATGCACAAACAACAGCAAGCAGATGTAGAAATGTTATTTATGAACACTGAAATTTCAGCTTCCTACAGCTTTTTTTGTGTCATAAAATATCTGTCCTCTTTGTGCTTTTAGATCACTTTATTTTATAGACATTATTTTTAGTTCGTAGATCATAGAACCACTGACAGAATTCTAGATGTAACTCATGAATAAGTTTAAAGATATACAGAACAGACAAAGAAAAAAAAAAAAGAGCAGACAACAGTTTGTTTCAGTAATCCTGGCAGGATATGGTACATTTTGGACAAAGAATATGATAGAAATAAGTGGAAACAATTGACTTGATATGCTTAAATACTAAATTAACCCGATGACAAAGTAAATAAAAAGGAAGAAGGAAAGCTTTCAGGTGTCTTACTGTAAAAGTGAGGCAGAGATCCTTAAGCATAAAAGGGAAACTGAGGAACAGACATTTGAAGAGAATTGTGGGCTCACTTTGAATTTGAGTTGTTTGTAAGGAGTTAGGGGATAAATAAGGACCGAAACATGATAGGCAAGCAATCTTCCACTGAATAACACTCCCAGTGCAACATATCATATTTGATATGCCTTTGTTCCATATATCAAAGGAGGGATTTAGGTTAGCAGTTGAGCTCAGAGGTCTTACATAGGGCTATGAAGGTTTTGTAATTGAAACCATGTATTTGGATGAAATCACTCAATCACAGTGGGGCCTTAGAGTAAAGGAAGGCGCAGGGCCAAACCTTGAAGAAATACATTTAATGACATCGGGAAGAAAGTTAGCCTGCCAAGAAAAGAAAGAGCATTCAAAATGGTGGTAGCCAAAGAAGAGAGTTATGCCATGAATGACAAGGGAAAAGAGCATTCCAGGAGAATTACAGGTGCTGGCTTAATAGAATTGTATTCTACAGTTAACCTAAATGGTTCTTACATTGCCCGTTGCTTCCTGCACAAACTGTAAGGAAACGTCAACTATTGAGTCTAGAAACTATTTTACCAAGTCATAGATGAAGCCAGAGTGTTGCAAGCTGATTAGTGAGTCTTTGAAAAGAGAACATTTCTTTACACAGCTTAACATGAAATTGGAGAGAAGGCAGTGGCTGGGTTATATGGGATTGCAAGACTCTTGTCTGTTTTTTTTTTTTCTTTCAAAAGGAAGACATTGGGGTAATTTCATGAACAGAGAAGATTTGTTTGACTGGGAGGTTGAGCTCACACCGAGGAAAGTGCAAATGGGGGGACAAAAGCACAGCTGGATTGAATGACACATCCATCACTGTCTGCATCTCTCTCCCGAACAATTATAGGTTTTTATCATTTGATTTTCTGAGTTTATCAAATTAAAAACGGGCCTTTAAATTTTATGTTTTCTCCTCTCAAATTATACTTTTGTACTCTACATTCTGAAAACATACTAGAGACCTGTGACTCGGCTTGAGTGTCTACTTGAAAGACATCTTTATCACTGCAATTAAAGCGGCGTTCCATGAAAATATGATTTATTATACCACAATTTTCAAGACCGTTAATTTGAACTATAAATTTCTTTTGCAAACATGAAGTAATTTTTAAATACATCATTTTCAAGTTTAAAATGTACAAAGCAAATCAAATGCTCAATTTACTAAATGAATACATTCAACATTTTTAAATGATCATTAAAATAAATTAGGATTTTTGTGTATGAAAGTACCTCTAATATATCGTGCTTAACTAACTATTGCATTTACTTCCTCTGGAATGCTGAGTGAGTTTGGAAATGGACTGTGTATTCCATAATGTCAATACAAAAGTAGTCTTTTACTATTATGAAAAAATGTTTCCTGACAATATATGCAGTTTGTTCTCAAAGGAAAGGAAAACATGGTATAGGCTATAGAGTTAACTCAATAAGTGGGTTCTATTCATGCTTCACTTTTCTTTCCTGTGGTGGTCAAGTACTGAGGTGTCAGATTATCTCTCCTGATCTCCTCTGACCTCTTGACCCTTTTCTGGATCTCAAACTCCTATAACTCCTGAGTACCTGCCTCTTACTTTGGATGACCTTCTTGTCTTTGAGAAAACAATAAACAATAAACGTGTCCTTGAGAATGACAGATAAGGGAGGTTGTCACCAGAGACTGTGGGTTGTTAAGACACTGTTGGACACAGTTTGAAAATCTGTAACAGGGCTCTGTCTTATCAAAGAACTTAAGAGCTATTCAGATTGTCAACTTTAATTTTGCAGTAGAGGTTTTCCACAGATGCTGGAAGTTTTGGAGCAAACCCTTCCTAGTGGTACTCTTTTACCTGCCAAGTAAAGAAAGAACAGTCACTTATATAAATGCTGACGGGAAATCAATAACATGGACACCAATTTTGGTTCATTTGTTTAGCAAGCATAGATGTACAAAAACGTTTTGGGAAACTTCCTGCTGTAGAATGGATTTTAGATTGAGTAGGAAGTGAAAAAAATGATATAAAGCCTGACAATGAAGAGTAAGACAGAATTGTGGCCACGAGTAAACAGTGCTGGTTCAGGTGTGATGTTTTCCAGAAATGCATGTGTTGACACCCTAATGAGTAGGCAGGCTTGAAAGGGCCGTTGACAAAAGGAGAACCAAAGAGCAAAGGAGACACAGCACAGTGAGAAGGTTTGTCCCTTGTGGAGAAGTTCTTTTCTTTCACAAGAACAGGACACAGGGATATAAGTGGTGAGGAAGAACCTTTGGGGGAAGTTCAGCTCTTTTCAGCCTAATTGGTTGTTTACTCTGTGATATTTTGATAGCTCTGCTATGAACTTCAAGATAGATGAGAAGGGGTTAAAAGTTTAGGGGAAAAGGCAAACTGAAATAGCGTTTAAAGTTAAAGAGTACACTAATGGAGAATTGCTCCAGAACACTGAGGGTCCAGTACGGTTAAGCCCTTAATAATTCTCTTTGTAGATAATAGCTCAGGCTCATAAAGACTCAGAAAAAAACATCTGACAACTGGCCAACAGTTGGACAATTCAAAAGAATCTTAAATCTAGTGTTCTGATCATTTGATTCAAGCTGAATTATAGAAGCCTGTGTCTGTCTAGTTATGCTTTACTTCATTTTATTTTAAATCTCACTTATTATGTAAAAGTAATTTTGTTATTACTTGTTTGACTTTAATAAAAAGAAAAAAAAAATCTGAGATGTCTTTTTAAGTGTTTTTGTCCCTCCCTGCACTACTGTTCACTCATGATGCTTCAAAGAGAATTTTCTGGTTTTGCACTTTGAATAGATTTAATTTTTCTAGTAACAATTCACAGCATAATTAGACCTAATGTTAGCATTTTTTCTCTTACAGTTTTTCTGGGTTAATTTTTGCTTGACATATAGCTTCATAGTAAAATGAAAACTTAAAACATTGATTACTAAGTTTATTAAGATTTCATTCTTAATTCACCCAAGTTATTTTAACATTTGATTATAATCTGTCTTTACCTTATGCTCAGGCAGGTCTTTGTGTGTTGATATTAATTTTACTTCTTTTTTCTCTTTCTTCTTGCACTGTTTCTGGAAAAAATATAAAAAGCACAATCCTGCTTATGAGCATTAATCTAAGCTTACACCAAAACATTTTTAGAGGTTTCCTTTAAACGTCACAAAGATTTAAATTTAACCATCTTTATGGCAAGAAATCTTTATGGGGACATCCTTATGACAAGCTGGAGTCCTAAGGCAGGGTAGGCTTCTGGGAAGACATGGGGATGATTCTAGCTGATACTTCTTTTAGCAGGGATCATGAAGACTGAAGAAGACACCTTCAGAATAGACAGGTCTCAGTGGGAGATGAGGAAAAGCAACCCCCTCACAAAAACTTCGACCCAAAATTTACCCTTTCTACAAGATGTACAGGGAAAAAGACAGAACAGAAATTGAGGAAATGTCCAACCAATGCCTGACCCAACCTGGGACCCACCCCATGGGAGAAGGCCATACCCTTACATGGTTAATTATATTCTGCTATGCTCACAAACAGGAGCATAGCATAGTTGTCCTCTGAAAGGCTCCACCCAGAAGTGGATTGAAGCAGATGCTGAGACTCAGAGCCAAACATTTGGGGAAGCAGAGGGAGTTTGCAGAGAAGTGGAAGGAAGAACGTGGAGGAAACAGAACTCCATAAGAAGACCATCAGAGCCAACTAACTAGGGACCAGAGGAGCTTGTGGAGACTGAAGCTCCAACCAAGGACCATGCAAAGACTGGACCTAGGCCCTCTACACAGGTGTAGCCTATAGGCATCTTGGTCCTAATATGGATCCTTTGTAAAGGAAGTAAGAGTCGATCGACTCTGACATGGATTCTGTTGCCTGCTTTTCTATCACTTTCCCCTCTTGGGGCTGCGTTTCCAAGCCTCATGGAAAGAGCATGAGCTCTGTCTTGATTTGATTTGATTAACTGGGGTGGGTGGGTAGAGGGCTCTCCCCTTTCTGAGGAATAGGAAAGAAGGAATGGAGAAAGAGGGAAGAGGGTTGGAAGGAGAGGAGGGAGTGGGCTACAGAAAGATGTAAATAAATTAATTTAAAAATTAATTTGGTTGAGCATTTTGATAAAAATTTGATTCTATTATAATTTTAATTTAGTCTACTTGTTAGATAACAAATAGGAAATTTTAGAATGCTTTGTCATTGACCTTGAGATCATGTTTCAATAAGGTCTAATGGAACAATACATAGATACCCACAGAGTCACGCACAGACTCACCCAAACATGTGCACATCTGCAGACTCTCTTAAACACACATACACACAGACACATATATGTGCACACATACCACACACATTCACACGTGTGCGTACTCACAGGCATGCATGTGTGCAAAGTGTTTTCATTTCGAAAAATCAAGAAAACAATGCACTTAACCTGTCTTTTACTGAGCCCACTCTGTTACTCTATGCCTGTATTCGAAGGGCTTTGTGTATTCCTTAAAACGTACATTCAGCTTTGTAAAAACATGATAGAAAATTTACAAGAGTTGGAGGTTAACTATTATCCACCCACATACTTCTGGAAGAAACTGACCCAAGTAGCCTTAGAAATGTTTTTCGAACCTTACTGTATCCTCATGTCATGTTCTTTCTTACTAAGCTATAGTTGCTGCCGTTAATGATACAGAGTAAAGAAAAGCATCACGTGGGATAGGAAAGAGAAAGAGAGACAAAGAGAACCAGATCACTGTCCTAAATGGTTATCCCAGCCCCACAATAATCTAAAATTCACTTTAACATGATTAATATTTGATTTTAATTCAATGTTTTTTTTTCTTTTTTCTTCACAGCTACCTTTGAAATTGCTGAGGACTATCCGCTCTTTCAACCCATTTATAAAGTGACTGTCACAGATGAAGACATTCCACATGGTGACAAAGTGACAGTAGGTCGTCATTGGGAGAGATGCAGACATTTCTGCAGGAGGCACACAGAGCAAAGCATCTGAGACAGTTCAAAAGACTAGAGAATGCATTTTTATAAGTGTGTGTGTGTGTGTGTGTGTGTGTGTGTATTTGTCTGTGCATCTCTCTGTGTGTGTGTAATGTGTGTATGTGTCTGTGTATTTGTGTGTGTATACTTTGCCTTACTAATTCGTAAGTATGTAATCTAAAGATTTTTTCATATAACTGATTTATGATTATAAAGTTTCTCTTTTTTGATTTAAATTTTTATTTATTGCTATTTATTCACTTTGTATCCCAGCTGTAGCCCCCTTCTTCCTCCCTTCCCAATCCCACCCTCCCTCTCTCTTCCCCTCCCATGCCCCTCCTCCAGTCCACTGATAGTCCCTCCCCCCTTCCATCTGACCCTAGACTATCATGTCTCACCAGGAATGTCTGCATTGTCTTCCTCAGTGGCTTGGTAAAACTTCCCTACCCCCTCAGAGGGAGGTGATCAAAGAGTTAGCCACTGAGTTCATGTCAGAGACAGTCCCTGTTCCTTTTACTAGGGAACCCACTTGGATACTGAACTTCCATGGGCTACATCTGTGCAGGAGTCCTAGATTATCTTCATACATGGTCCTTGGTTGGAGTATCAGTCTCAGAAAAGACCCCTGTATCCAGATTTCTTGGTTCTGGTATTTTACTTGTGGAGCTCCTGTTCCCTCCATGTCTTTCTGTCTTCCCCTTCTTTCATAAGATTCCCTGCAGTCTGCCCAAAGTTTGCATATGAATCTCAGCATCTACTTTAATATCTTCTTGGGTAGAGTCTTTCGGAGGCTCTCTGTGGTAGGCTCCTGTCCTGTTTTATTTTTTCTCCTTCTTCAGATGTCTGTCCCATTTGCCTCTCTGAATGAGGGTTGAGAATCTTACCCAGGGTCCTCCTTCTTGCTTAGTTTCTTTAGGTGTACAGATTTTAGTAATGATTATCCTATATAGTATGTCTAATATCCACTTAGAAGTGAGTATATACCATGTTATTCTTTCTGCTTCTGGGATACCTCACTAAAGTTTCTCATAAACTTTGCAAAAATAAAACTTCTGAAGTTCTATCTTGGGAGTGTACTGCCATTTAAACTCTGAGAGTTCTCATGACTTCCTGGAAGCTGTTCCTTTTGAATACATACTGAAATCCTTTTCTACCAGTTCAGTAACTCTATCAGTGAAGGAACGGAGCACCAACTGCTGCTGGGCTCTCCGTTGACCTGGGCGGTTTTGAATTTTCCCGAGGCTAGTGGCATGACATGGGAAAGTCCCATAATCTCCTGCCCTTGATTTCCGCAATTAACAGATATTTCTTTTTCTTTCCCTACTCCTTGTCGACATATGTGATGTTGTCAGTCAAGGTAGTAAAACTCTCTGTGGAATAGCAAAAATTATATTGTTATAGGCTAGATATAGCCTACAATTGTCAAGAAATCTGAGATCTTTCCTATTAGATAATGTCTTTTCAGAAGATTGATGAAAAATAACCTCTGGTCCAGATGAAAATAGTTATTGCCAGTCTGCTATTCATGGAAACATGAGAGGGAGAAGCGAGTGAGAGTTTCAAAATATAATTTTCTGAGAATTGGTTATATTGCTGGGATATAGAATTCATACAAGTTTAAAAATGAATTCGCAACAGCAACTGGACCTTTCTCAAATTATTTTCTCCTTTAACTTTCTTGTCGGATAGTTTTGAGAATATATTTATCTAATTTAACCTCTCCTTAAATCACGGAAGAAATTTTAGTAAAGTTTTTAAACCTGCATATACCATGGTATTAATATTTGAAATTTAAAATGTGTAGAAATCTTGAATGTTTTGAAGTTTAAAAAGTGACAATAAGTTCATTCTGTATGTATTTCCTTTTATATATAAAATCACTGGTAGAATCAGAAACAGGCGTGTTTAAATTATTTTAGGAAAATGCGGTGTACAACTCCATTAAGTATTTGCAAAGGGAGTGTAAAATCAGTAAGTGACACTATTATTCTTCACTGCAAATGAGAAGATGCCACTGGTTTTTATGCCAGCTAGACCATAAGATTGGGAAATATAAATCACTAAGGAACTTTCTACATGTTTGTCTCATTGTTGTACATTAGTAAATCTTCTCTGCCTTTTCCTTTATTTTTAAGTGAGTAACATACATCTTATTTTCCAGTACACCATTGAGACAGAGTTATCTGGACCAAAGAGGGGAGCAAACTCCTTTGGAGTAGACCCTGTAAATGGTGTTGTTAGCGTAAGAGGTGAAGATGTCTTGGACTTTGATGCTGGATATCATGTAATGCAATTTTATTTATTCCTCTATTAAGAATAGAAATTAAATTGAAAAATTACGGCTATTGTGTCATTACAAAGGGTAATATTTTGTGAGATTCATTTGCAGAGTTTTGTGGTTAACCAAATGTCTAGACCTAATCCTTAGATTTACCAAAATGTAGAGATTGTACCTTTCCTATATAAAAGTTTCTAAAGGAATTTAAGAGAAAATTATCACAGATATCCTAACTAAATGATCATTGGGATAAGTGAGTGTGAAAGGTAGATGAATATATACCTGTTGGCTGTTATGACTGCTATTGTAAAATATTCCTGTTTTAGCAATACCTCCGTTTATGTTAACTCATGAGGCTGTTGAGAAAATGGGTAAGTTGAAATGCAAGATTCTTCAACCTTCCTCATGCTGCAACCCTTTAATACAGTTCCTTATGGTGTGATGACCCTCAATGATAAAGTCATTCCATTGCTATTTCATAACTTTATAATTTGCTACTGTTGTGAATCATAATGATAACCATCATAATGGTTATGATCCATAACCATTAAGAGCAATAACTGATGTGCAGGATGTCTGATGTGTGACTCCCAAAGGCATTGTGACCCACGGGTCGCAAACCACTCCACTGCTCTAGAACAGAAAGGGAGCCGCTGACGATAGTTAGGAGGAAAACCACTCCACTGCTCTAGAACAAAAAGGAAGCCGCTGACGACAGTTAGGAGGAAAACCACTCCACTGCTCTAGAACAAAAAGGAAGCCGCTGACGACAGTTAGGAGGAAAACCACTCCACTGCTCTCGAACAAAAAGGAAGTCGCTGACGATATTTAGGAGGAAAATTTAGTAGTTGAAGATGACTTCAACTTTCTAATCTGAAAAGGAGGTGGGGCAAGGAAAGCCAATGGATCTTATTTAACCTTCAGTTTGGAAACATTAAGTGTTGAATAGTGGGGCTGGCAACAGCAGACTTTAAGGGTACTCTATTAGATTACGATAGAGAGAAAAGAGGTGGAAGTTAGCTAGACTACCTCCATCTGCATGTAAGTGGTTCAGAGCTACCTTTCTGGGACTCTCTCTCTGTCCCTCTACTCACGAATTCTCCACAGCATGTGCAGGCTTCTAAAATTTCTTTCTTTCTTTATCCTTACTATACTCTCCAGCAACCACTAATTTTATATGATTGAGCATAGGGTCACCCACACAACCACTGTCGTTCACTCAACATGGAAGCTTCTATGTTGTAGGCATTTGTTAATGTTTGTTAATGACCTTTTGCTGTGCTAGGCATGCTTTGTTTGTGTCCCCAAAGTGGCACTAGATAGGAATCCCATGATATCTAGGGGGGGAGAGGAGGGATAGGCTGACAAGGAGCTTACTCAATTCTAATAACATTTCTAGTCCTTCAGAAACCACATCATGTTCTTATCCTAAAGAATAGTTTGAAGTCCTGTGTCTTGGGATCATCCCCAAGCAGTCTGCATCATTAAGAGCATCAGTTCTTTATATTTTGGGTTTATGGATAAATGTAGAATTCACTCATGTTTTGTTTCTACTGCTTCTATATTTAGGCCAGTAGCCAAACTCTAAAGACTTCTGAGTGAAATTTTATAGCATATTAAATGAATCTTTTTTTGAAATTTATTGTGAGTTTAGTTGAAAAATTATTAATACTTATTAACACTATTCATAAAATGTATGTTTATATCTAAATATATTATATAAGTATAAATATATACATAATATATAAATTTGGAGAAAATATATATGTATATATTTGGAGAAAGCTACAAATGTAGCATGAGACATTTAAAGTATATATGTATTAACAGTTTTCAAATAGTGTATTATAATTTTTCAAAACCTCTCTTCCAGACGTTCCAGCTTTCAGTAAGAGCAACAGATACAACGGGTTTGTTCTGTCAAGGGACACTAATTATAAATATTAGAAACACAAATGATGAGACACCTCAATTTGAGTAAGCACATTTGTTTCAAAGTGTAAGCATAGGAGATTGTAAAAACACAAGTTTTTGTATGTAGTATAAATGACAATAAAGAGCCTTTGATAACGTGGAAAACTATCTCAAGTTCTGCTCTGTCAAAAACACATTAGAATATGCCCACAACCGACGCACGTGAGAACAATGTACAAAGTTTATCAGAAAATACGCAAAACAAGTTTGGACATTTTCAACCTGTAATGTGATGGAATGATTTGGTTGTGTTTCTGTTTTCATTTCCCAAAAATAAAGCTATTACACTCATTTCCAATAACTACATTGACCTTTAAAAGTTTAAATATTTAAATATTTAATTTGCATATTTCCACATACAATGTAACATTAGGAAATATATGCAGAATATGAATCAATATTTTCTATATTTCAAAATGTAGTTTTCAAAATGTAGTGATTAAATATATTATAATAGAAATAAAATATTTCTTAGATTAGTAAAGATAGAAAGTAGCAGTATTAAGGTTACTTTCCTTGTGTTAGTAAGTTGTATCTCCACAGATAATCATAGAGAGCAGTTTATTGAGTTCTTGAATTCATCTGGTTACAGTGTCTGAGGAACTGAAACAAATTTGGTGGTTCCATAATCCCTTATTTCTAAAAATGGTCAATCTGTACATCTACCTTTGTTTGTAGTAAAAATACCATCATGATTTAAGAGTAATATTTTGTTGCTATCATTACTTAATAAACATAAATCAATTCCCCATGTAGCAGAATTTATTGCTAAGTATATGTGAGCCATGACCAAATTACTACATAGTTCCTAATTTTCTTTTCATTTATAAAGAGACACAGAACGTTAACAAAATAGGGCAACGGGGAAAAAAAGTGATTTAAAGTGTTCTAGAATACAGCTTTTATATGAGGCATTTTCTTTATTATACTAGGTGTGAAAGAAAGACCGGGTGTGATGTGGCCAAGAGTGCTACTTGTAGGCATAGAATGACTCAACTTTTCTGTCCTTGGACCTCACAGGCCACATAAGTTATCAGTTAGGTATGATGTCTAAAAAAATTGCCAAGTAAAGAAACTTACATTTCAGACTGTCAGGTATATTGTGTGACTCGCAGAAAGGTAATAGGTAATGTTACAGAAATTGACATAATACTTTGCTCTAAGTTACATCTTTGGAAAGCAATTTATCCTCCCAGATTACAAGATGAAAATGAATATGTTTAGCGTCTTACGTTCATTTTTCAACCGTTCCATGCATTGGCTGTTTGGAACAATGGAGATTAATTATTCCATTTTGTTTTTCATTTTTCACCTCTTTTATTCCATTCTTGTTCCTTCTAATTTGGCTGAAAAATGGAGATAATATGAAAGAAAGAGCATATTAAAAATAATCCATGTAACTTTGTGATGCAAAGAGCTTTTCCCAACATTTAAATATATTTAGAGCTCTTAAACTCCTGACAAGAGTAAATAGCATTAATAACTTAGAATTCCTTTGGTTTATGAGTCAGCATTTAGATTGTACAGTTGTTAAGTTGTTTCTAAAGTTTTTCCTCACAATTTTATTTTTAGGCCATTTCCTACGGATTCAATTAATGTGACTGAAAATAAACCCATTGGAGATTTCGTAGCAAGAGTAAAAGCCACAGACCGTGATGAAGACAGCACCATTGTGTATTCCTTTAAAACCCAGCAGGAAATATTCGGTTTAGACTCTTGTAAGTTTTAGATAAATACTTCTAAAGTACTTTAGCTAAACATAAATCAATCTCTACACTCCCTTTGGATTTTGGACTTGTAAAATTACTCTTTAAAAATTAAACAGAATAGTAAACATAACAGAAACATGTGACATTTATTCTTACAACTTTCCTACTTGTCCAAATAGTCTTGTGAAACAGAGAATGATATAAAACTTTGACTCTCATTATAGAATATTATCCTTCACAGATGATTTGCTTGAATATATCTGTGGTCATATTTGTAAAACTTGAGACTTTTACCAGGTGTTTTACTCTTAAATATTTGATTATAGATAGAACTTTGTCTATGTGGAAAAAATAGTTACTCTGAAACATTGTTCTTGTGGGTATATTTTTAATCTGGTATCATTAAGTGTGATAATCAAGTAGAGAAACAGAAGCACTAAGAGTATGTTCTGGAAGCTGGCAATGCAGTTTTAGATGGACTATAGTCTCCATCTAGTTCTAGAACTTGAAGTCAGGAAAAGAAGTACACATAAAGTGGAAACACTTAGAGTAGATTAGAACATGAAAGGATGAGTGGAATATAATCAGGATGATTTGACCAGCGAGAGTTCCCGTCTCTCACTTTGACAGTGTTGGTGTCCTGAACAATCTGGGTCTTTCTGTCTCAGAGTTTAGTAGGCACACCTAACCTAGAAGTCAGAAAAACAGAAAGATTTCACAGGTTGGCCAATCTGAGGTTCAGTATAGCTATGCATATGGCAACACAGAATAAAAAACCTACTTAAAACATTAAGAGATTTGTATGTATCTTTGTGTCTCTGTGAGTGTTTCAATTTTAATATAACTCAACTACATGGTTTTTGAGCATCAAGTTTGTAGAATAGAGTGTGTTGCAACAATGTCCAAGAGTTGAAAAGGCTGAAGGAAAAAAAAAAAAACTTACAAATTCAGTTGTAGCCACTTCATTTCAGCAGCAATACAGGAGAGCAGCCAAAATATATGTATAAACTAAACTACAACATACTAAACTAAAAGACTGCTGCTACCTTTCCAACCTCCAAATTGATGAGATATCTCCTTGTGGGCCACCAAAATCCAAAACAAATGAGAACAGAATTGTCAAGTTGGCACATTGCAAAACCATCATACTTAATCATCCAATACTTGAAAAAATATTTAAGTCCATAAATTTTAATCTGTTTACAAATCTTCATATTTAAATATTAGTGGAAGAAAAAAAGTAAGAAAATGTCAGTAGACTTGCAAAGCCTTATGAAAGTTCTGAAGACGTACAGGATAATCTCAAGGTAGATCATTTCAAAGCAAAAAGAAAATTCTTAAAGGAAAAGTAAGTTGTAACACCAGGGATGAACAGGCACCCCATTTTAGCAAACTTTTCTTAGTTTAGTTTAACACTTGAGTTCTTCATTTGTGTGTAACAAAATAACTGAAACTTGTTATCAGAAGCAATGAATAATTGGGATGAGTTTTTGCACTCACTACTATGATACATTACAGTTAATAAGAATTGTGACCTCTTATATGTGGTATTTCAGAATAGGAATGCTACTCCCTGTGTTTGGTAAACAAATACATGATAACTGAAAATATTTAGAGGAAATGTGATGAAATGAGCCTTAATATGGTATTATTTTAAAATAAGTATGTAGTAAAAAAAAAAGTTTTAAACTTTTTGCAGTGGGTATACACTTGGTGAGCATCACGTTCTTATAAATGGAAATTATATCCTTATCTAAATTTAAACATCATCAGTATAGACTAACCTAGGAATAAATATTCTACTTTAACCGCTTTTATTTATTTTCTTCCTTAGTCACAGGTACAATCACTGTGCTTCAACCTCTGAATCTTGACAATCCACGGAACTCCAGAATATACTCTTTGGAAGTTGAAGCCACAGACAATGGCAATAACACTAGCTCCTATATGTTCACAGTTTTTGTGGAAGATGTTGACGATCCTATTTACTGTGATCCAAGGTTTTCAACGGGCGCAGGTATGTAACAAGTCAATTTCATTCAAAGATTCAAGAAGCATTGTCTGTGGTAGAACGAGTAGCATGGAAGTATAGCCGCGCTTACTCGGGGATTTGATTTAGGGTGAAGAGTGCTAAGGATTGAACCTGTATTAAGAGGCATGCTCCATCAGTGAACTATAATTCTATTCTAGAGGTTTTTGTTTATTTGTTTCTTTGTTTGTTTGGCTTGTTTTTGTTTTTAAATTTATTTAGTTATTCACTTTACCTCCCAATTGTAGCACCCTCTCTCCTGTCCTCCGGTCTCATCCTCCCTTCTTTCTCTATGCCACCTCTCCTATCCCTTATAAAAGGAGGGCCCTACCTCTCTGACCAACCCACCCCAGCACATCAAGTCACATCAGGACTGAGCACTTCCTCTGCCATGGTGGCAGGGGAGGTGATTAAAAATCTTGCGACAGAATCCATGTCAAAGACAGCACCCTCTCCCCTTACTAGGGAATCCACATGAAGACCAAAATACCCATTGGGTATATACATGTAGGAAGCCCAGATCTAGTCTATGCATGGTCTAGCAAGCTTGCTACTTCAGTCTCTGGAAGTTCAGGCTGGGCTTGAATTTGTGATGCTACTCTGTCATTCACCCAGGTTCACCAAACTTGAATTGGTTTATAAATAACAATCAGTGGGAAAAAAAAAAGATTTTTGTCTTGAATATGCAAGCAAGCAAGGACAGGCATATGAGAGAGTTTGTAGAATGAAAAAATAATATTTTTTTTAATTAATTACACTTTATTCACTTTGTATCCTCCCTGTAGCTCCCTCCCTCCTCCGCTCCCAACCCCTCCCTTCCTCCCGCTTCTCCCATGCATGGCCCTCCCCAAGTCCAATGATAGGGAAGGTCTTCTTTTCCTTCCTTCTGATCCTAGTCTATTAGGTCTCATCAGATATGGCTGCATTGTCTTCCTCTGTGGCCTGGTAAGGTTGCTCCCACCTCAGGGGGAGGTGATCAAAGAGCAGGCCAATCAGTTCATGTCAGAGACAGTCCCTGCTCCCATTACTATGGAACCCACTTGGACACTGAACTGCCATAGGCTACATCTGTGCAGGGGGTCTAGGTTATCTCCATGCATGGTACTTGGTTGGAGTATCAGTCTCAGGAAAGATCCCTGTGCTCAGATTTTTTTGGTTCTGTTGCTCTCCTTTTAGAGCTCCTGTTCTCTCCAGATCCTACTATTTCCCACTTCAAAAAAGAATATTTTTAAAGATTTAAAAGGTGTATAAGGGAAAGTAGGTTAAAAAGTAAAAGAAATGATCTGCATAATTCAAATTTCAATTATAATTATTTGTTTGGTTGATAGAGGAGAAGGGTAATGGAAATAGTATTTGAAATGCATCTATAACATATGGCTTAATATGTACCTCATAATTTGTCAAATGTATAAAAACCTAAATAGTAAGATATAACTCATATGACTTAGTAGAAAAGTGCAGTCAATAAAGTGAGTTTTGCAAGCATGAGGACCTGTGTGAAATCCTCAGAACCCGTGTTTGAAAAATAAACAAAACCCAACAAACTAATGAGCTAATAAAATGCAGCTGGTGTGATGTGCTTGTAATCCCAATGCTGGTGCATCAGAGATTGGTGAGTCTCTGGTGGACCTTGGCCAGTCAGCCTTGTCAGTTGGTAGGCTCAAGCTTAGACAAAGAACTACTGGCAACCAAGGGATACTGAGAGCAGGGGAAATAGTCTTTCCCAAGGAGAAAGCTCAGGAATTGCTTACCCATGCCTGATGATCATCACTGAACACATACAAACAAGGAAGATTACACAGACTCTAAAGGTAGAATTTATATGTTTATAAACCACACACACACACACACACACACACACACCAGCAATGAAATAAAAAGAGGCCATAAATTTAAAAGAGCCAAAGGAGATAGAAATATATGGTAGTAGTTAGAAGGAGAAAAGTGAAGAAAGAAAATGTTGTTATTATAAGATAATCTCAAATTTTAAAAAAAAAATAGTCAAAAATATAGCAAATTTACAAGGATCTGGGTGTAGACTTGCTTTCTGTCTTAGTGTTCATGCAGATATTATCTTTTTGGATGACTATGAAACGATTTGATGTTCTTGTTAATTTCATTTTAGTGTCTCCACATTATAGTAGACTTTTAAAAGATGCACATGGATCTCAAGGTCATCCTGACCTGATTTCTACCATAGACTTGGCTGAGCTGCTAAGGCACACTGGAGACCAGGAAGCTCTTGTCCCATCACATTGAGTGGTTTCCCTAAAACTAAGGCAAAGCATGAAGAACTCACTTTAAACAATGGTTCAAATTCTGTGACCTTTCCCAAAAGACATCATTACAATTTGCATGTTGCCCATTCGACATTCATGAAATCAGTTCACTTATTGCTTTTAGTTGCCGAGATTTGACAACTACCCAGAGTGAGTCACTAAACAAGATACATCCAGTGTAAAAAAGGTTTACAAAGTAAACCAATCTTAACTAATGCAAAAATTTGTTCCACAAATATTATTAGAAATACCAAAGAGCATATGGATTCTGTGAGACTTCCAAAGTAAATTATGAACAATAGCCACAGAGTTGGAGGGATTGCTCCAATGGTTAAGAGTACTTGCTGCTCTTGCAGAGGACCTGAGTTTGGATCCTAGAACCCACTTGATGGCTCACAACTACCTGCAACTTCAGGTCCAGAGAACCTTCTTTTGGCATCCTCTGGTCCAGTCAAACATGTGATGCACACGCCTAAATTCAAATACTTACACATAAGCATGAGATAAAAATCAATAAATCTCTTCAAAAAAAAATCCATCAGGCTTGGTTCCAAACTCATGTGTGCAGTAAGAAAGGATCCTCAAGTAGTGAATTCTATAAAACATTTGAACATATTAGGACCTTACAGATAATTAGGTCTAAGCAACAGAGACCAATTCATTTAATTCTGGATGGATGTCAGCAATTCTGCATTCCTCTGCATTTTTTCCTCTCCATGTATTTCCTATTTGTTCCTTATTTTCATGTTTGTGTGTGTGTGTGTGTGGGGGGGGGGTGACATGCATATGCATGAAGTCATGAATGTATCACATGTTGTTAAAGATGAATCAGTTTTTCATCAGATGAAGAAACTCTCAATGCTTCACATACCCATGTGTGCATCTGTCTTATTTTATTTTGGAATGAGACAGAATCACACTTGATTACACCAGAATGAAAATAAAGTTCTGTGTTTGCAAAGAGTAGCATTTGTTCAGATGTGTGAGATATGAACATATTATACTTACTTCCCAGAACCACACTAATGTTGAAATGTATTTTATCTCTGTTGTACAAATAAGAATGAGGATGTAGTACTAATTAATTGTACTAACTGTGTGATAATACAGTTTTCTTTACTTCACTGTTTGCATACATTTTTATACATTGCTGTGGAAAAGAATAAAAATTCAATATTCTTGCACATGTGAATCTAAATGAAAATGTTCTTGTAACTATTGATGTTGCAGACACTGAGCAGTTACCTCTCATTCCTCACATCAACCAAATATTTAAATTAAAAAAAAAACCCTGAATTGTGTTGATTTTTTTTAAATATCAAAATTTAAAAGCAATTATCTGGGCTGGATGATTTCAGGTTAGAGTCCTACCTATTTGGGAAGTTAAGGGAGGTTTTCTTCAGTTCATTCCTTGGAGATCAGCATGGAAAGCTTAGTTAAATCTCATGTCCTTCTATGTAAATAGGGTTCATGCCCTTCTGTGTAAATAGGGTACAGCAGGTTGGCTCAGTGTCTAAGCCCTGGGTGTGCATGTATGGTAACCTTGGGTATTTCCCCAGCACATGCACAAAAGTTCTGTATAACAATGCCTATCACTAAACCCATTTACTGGAAAGATGAAATAAAATCCCAAGGGCTCACTGACCAGGGAGTATAGCTGAAAGTGAGAAGTCCCGTTAAATAAGAAAATTTGTCTCAAATATTAAGGTAAAGCAATGATTGAATAAGACATCAACATCAATCTCTTGCCCTCTCATGTGCTTGTGTGGGCAACTGGACCAGTAAACATGAATATGCTTCCACCCCAAGATGTAAATAAACTTAAAGTAAAAGATCAACATTGATTTTCATGTGAGTAAACATTTGTAGTGTTTTCTAGAACAAGTATTCTTAAGGAAATTACTCAATAGAGACTTTTACAGCTCGATGACTTACACCAGCCAGATGAAGCAAGAGGGATGTATCATTTAATTACTGTTAATGACTTATGTGATTGTGTAGGTGTGTCAGTGTCTGTTGCCGAAAATACCCCTTCATCTGCTTTTATATACGCAATTCTTTCAAGAGATCCAGATCTTGGACAAGAGGTTGAAGTAAGTCTATCATTATAGTTTAAGTTTTTCCCCAATATTTAAAAAGTTAGAATTCATTACTTAATTTTCAATGAGCAAATTTTTTTTCCCTCAGGTTTTAATTGAGCTAGTCTTTGTGTCTTACGAGGCTTACTGAAGTGAGAGAGGAAATTAAACCTTTAGAATATAATAGCAAGATTAAAGTGTTAAGACAGACAATGGAAGTCATAGACCAAAAATGCTCTGAAAACACTCAAGAGAAGTGTCCCATTGCTCCCATTTATCTGATGATGCTTATGCATTCTAGAATGTTTTTTCACTTATTTTATTTCATTCATATTTTATTAGATCCTGAATTTACGTAAAGGATGTTTTAGAGCTTCATATTATTTTGGTTTCAGCAATAATTTGTAGATAATCAAGAATTAATAAGTAAAAGATGATGAAATAGTTACAATTTAATGGGGGAAGGAAGAAATTTATCACTGTTTTCTCAAAATTTTTATGGTGCACCACAACTCATAATCTAATTATATTTCAAAGAAACAAATACAGTTTTTGATAGTATAATAAATCATTAATATATTGGGATAGTCTTTCCTAATTTTAATGGTTTAACCAATTTCTTGAGGGAATGGGCAAGATTTTTCTAGTTGCTCATGCTTATAAACTTGGGAATATGACTAATGCTAAAGTTTGAGAGGATTCTTTCAGGAGACCTTAGTCTTTATAATCTGAGGAAACCACACAGAAAAATATAATTCCTTCTTGGACTCAAAAATCCCGTTTGTGAGAGTGTATTGTATTGGTGGAGGAGAGACAGTAAGAGCATAAGCTAGTGTACTTGGGGTTGTGGGGATATCCATTTATGTATGTATGTATATTTTGTAAGTAAGTGTAAACATGTATATTTTCTGTAAATAAAATGATTATAATGTTTGAATCATAAGTCATTAAATTATAGAGAGAAGAAAGGTTTTGCAAGTAATAATTTTTAGCAAATCTAAATCATCATAATAAGAGAAGAAATAAATATTTTTTCCATAAAAATGTTTAGTGAGTTCTAATCTAAAGTAAGACAGCTTTCAGTGTTCAGAAACAGCCAAGTAAAGTAAATCAATATGTCCATGAGCATTGCTGCCATATCTCTCCCCAAGATTTAATCATCACACTTCCCAGGTTTTGTTATTTCTTTGAACCAAAATTAAGATGTATTTTTTTTCTCTTTTTTACAGTTTAGCCTCTTAATAATTTTTTTATGCCCTACAATATTTATCTTAAGCCTGGTCCCATTATCCTGTTATAAGTGTGGACAATAACAATGGAGAATACTATGTCATTGCTCATAAAAAAAAACCTATTAATTTAAAGCATTATTTTAATTTTTTCATGCCTAAAATCAATACTGGTACGAGATTGAATGCTTTCTTTCAAATAGATTGTGTGTGTCTCTCTTTGGATACATGTCTTCAGTGTACAAGAGGGAATGGGTTTTATATTAAAAAAATCTGTCTGTGTAACACTTGAAAGTAAACTAATGGTGAAAACAATGACAACTCTTTACCAAAACACCCTGGAACTTTGGTACAAAACAAAATATGAGAAAAGTACAGCTGAAAATGTGAAGGAATGTTTGCATTGTTTTTGAAGTCAGGATATGAAAGCAAGTTCAAATTTTATTTATGGGTACTGTCTTCACAAAATGAAGCTGAGAGTAGCTTTTGCCAAATAATCACATCAAAAAAAAATGTCAGTTCAAAATTCATGCATTTACAATAATATATCAGCCATGTTTGTGGGTTTTGTTCCAGTTTTTAATATTAAATTCTTCAACCAATGCCACTGCCTACTTTGCTTTGGATTCGCATAGTGGTGTCATTTCTAAAACCAGGGAACCTCTTCTGGATTATGAAACAGATCCTAAGGTGAGAACAATCAGCACTTTAAAATAATGAATGCCTTCACTTTATCCATTTAATCAAAGTAGCTGTAATGTGCTTAAATTGAAACAAAGCACAAAAAGTCATTTAATTCATCTAGGTCGACAGAAAAAAAATTTAAACATACTGAGAAGAACACTTGATGCTTTTGTTACAGGCGTCTTGGGATGAAGGGTGGTTATCTATGTGTACCATCTAGCACATTTTGTAGGATGGACAAAAAGAGAAAGAAGGCCAATTCTTCTGTAAAGGTGTCAGGCGAATGGAAAAGATACAAATGCCAGGAATGTGAGGGTGAGAGATACAGCTAGAGGGCCTTAAGGATGGGATAGAAAAAAAGAGAAAAGAAAACACAAACTTGGTTTGAGCAGACAAACCCAATCCTAGGTTGGAGCACCGAGCGTTGAGAGTCTGCTGGGGGCTCTGGGTCAGACATCTATAGGATCCTTGCCCTTCCTCTTATAGAACTCTCTCTCCTTCTCCATCATCAGTCCCGCACAGGGGTCTCTTGTGTTGTGGAACTTGAAAGTTTCCCTAATCCTCCTTCACAGTGATATTGATGAATTAATTTTTAAATTAAATTGGAAATATTTGACATCTGTAAACTTTTCGTGCTTACAAAGTAATTTCCAGGACAATCAATGTTACACAGAGTAACCCTGTCTCAAAAAAGAAACAAACAAGTAAACAAACAAAAAACAAAAGACAAACAACCAACTCCCCAAAATTAACACCAAGCACATTTAAAGACTTACCTACCAATTCTGTTTTTTTTTTTTCTCACTCTTTCTCTTTATAAGCTATGTTTTGTTTTGTTTTGTTTTGTTTCACTTTACATCCTGGTCATAGCCCCTCCTCACGTTCCAGTTCCACCCTCCCTCTCTCTCCCCCTCTCCCTTCCCTATTTCTCAGAAAATGGGAACCCCATTTCCCATCTACTCCAGCTCATCAAGTCTACTCACGGCTGAGTGTGTCCTCTTCCTTGTGGCCTGAAAAGGCAATCCCTCGGGAGGGAGCAGTTGAAAAGCTGGCAATAGAGTCCATGCCAGAGAGAGCCCCTTACTAGTGGACCCACATGAGGCCTGAGGTGCTTCTCAGTTACAACTTTGTAGGGAGCCTGCGTCCAGCCCATGCAAGGTCCTTGGTTGGTGCTTCAGTCTCAGCAGGACCCTCTGGGCCCTGGTTAGTTGTCTCTGTTGGTCTTCTTGTGAAGTTCTTGTCACCTGCAGGCTCCTACGCCATGCCCAATGTTTGGTTGTAAGTCTCAGCATGTGTTTCATGTGTTTAGAGGCACTGCTGGGTGAAACCTCTCAGAGGACAGCTCTGCTGGACTCCTGTCTACAAGCATAGCAGAGTATCATTAAAAGTGTGAAGAGTTAGTTCTCGCCCATGAGGTGGGTCTTGGGTTAGTCCAGGCATTGTTTGGACTTTCCCTCAGTCTCTGCTATTATGTGCTCTATCTTTATCCCTGCACATCTTGTATGCGGGGTAAATTTGAGTCAAAGTTTTTGTCGGTGGGTTTGTGTTCCTCTTCCTTCACTAGGAGACTAGTCTACTTCGAGGGTGTCCTTTGTTGTCTCTATGACCCCTGCTACTAGGAGTCTCTGCTAGAGTCCCTCTCATATTCCCCCAGGAGCCTACACTGATTTAGGGCTCAAGCTTGTCAGAGAGATGACCTCGCCCACAGTTTTTCTTTTCTCTGTAGGCCTTTTGTCCTGCCGCCCCCGCTCACCCCAGGTCTGATCTCCAACCTCATATCTCTCTGTGTTTCCTCTCCTACCTTGTCCCCTCTCTTCAACCATTACCTCAGTCTATTCTATACCTTTTTCTGAGAGAGATTTAAGCATCCTTCCTTGGGTCCTCCTTGTTCCTTATCTTCTTTGGGTGTATGCATTGTAGTACGTTTATCCTACAGTATATGGCTAAAATCTACTTATAAGTGAGTACATACCGTGCATCTGGGTTTGGGTCCTTTCACTGAGGATGATCTTTCCAAGTTCCATCCATTTGCCTGCAATTTCCATGACTTCTTTGTTTTTAATAGCTGATTAGTATTCTATTGAGTAAATGTGCCATAATTTCTTTATCCATTCTTCTGTTGAGGGACATCTGGGTTGTTTCCAGTTTCTGGCTATTATGACTAAAGCTGCCATGTACATGCTTGAGCAAGTGTCCTTGTTGTATGATAGAGCATCTTTTGGATACATACCCAGGAGTGGTAAAGCTGTATCTTGAGGAAGGAGGAAGAGCTATTTCCACTTTTATGAGCAAGTACCAGATTAATTTCCAAAGTGGTCATACAAGTTTGCACTCCCACTAGCAATAGAGGAGTGTCACCCTTCCTCCACATCCTCTCCAGAATGTGTTGTCACTTGAGGTTTTGATCTTAGCCATTCTGATAGCTGTAAGCTGGAATCTCAGAGTGGTTTTGATCTGCATTTCCGTCATGGCTAAGAACACTGAGCATTTCTTTAAGTGCTTCCTAGCCATTCCATCTTCCTCTCTTGAGAGTTCTACGTTTATCTCTGTGTCCCATTTTTTTTTAATTTAGGTTATTTTGTTGGTCTTTAATTTCTTGAGTTTTTTATACATTTTGGATATTAGCTCTTTGTCCAATGTGGCATTGATGAAGATCGTTTTCCAATCTGTAGACACTTGACAGTGTCCTTGGCCTTACAAAAGCTTTTCAGTCTCAAGTCCCACTTATTAATTGTTGATCTTAGAGCCTTTGCTGTTGGTATTCTGTTCAGGAAGTTTTATCCTGTGCCAATGAGTTCAAGGCTCTTCCACACTTTCTCTTCTAAAAGATTTAGTGTATCTGTGTTATTTTGAGCTCTTTTATCCAGTTGGACTTGAGTTTTATTCAGGGAGATAAGTATGGATCTGTTTGTATTTTTCTACTTGTAGACATCCTGTTATATCTGCACCATTTATTGAAGATGCTTTCCATTGTATATTTTAGCTCCTTTGTTGAAATTCAGTTGTCTATAGGTGTGTGGGTTTATTTCTGGGCCTTTGATTCAATTCCATTGATCAACTAGCCTATTTCTATGCCAGACCATGCAGTTTTCATTACCATTG